CCTTGAGGGAATGACAGTGCTTGGATTTCTGTCAATACAGGGTTCAGGTAGTGTTTCTCAATAACATTCTGAATTATTGATGACAGAGAGATTGAGAGGAGAAGGGGGTAGTTAACATTCACTTTTATGTATGAAGAGAAGGAGAGATGAGAGATGGGTTAGCCCAATTGCTGCCCAGCGTATTTTAAAGTGATCTGTTTGAGACTCTGAGGTAAGACTCGTTTGAAAATGCCATAAGGACCACAGAAGATTGAAGGTGCATCCTGACTGACAGAGAGCACAGAATGGTCAGGGAATTATAGGCCTCTGTGGAGATGAATCTAAATAATTAACAGGAGGAAGACGAAAGGAGAGGATTCCACTGGCGCATGCCTGATCCTTCTTCCACTGATAGCCCTCTGGGCTTTTTTTTCGCCCATTGCAAATAGACATGAAGACGATGGATGACGCCTGCAGCGGTTTTGCAGATCGATCAGAGAACCGTCTCACTGTCTGAGTCCTGCATAGATCCCTCTGTGTGAAGTCTGGCCAACTCACTGTCTGTAGAAAGAAGTCCTGAGAATAGGCCTAACTCAAGGCAGGCTACGTTTCTCCAAGAGTGATACTCATGCACAAAGCAGTGGGTGTTGGCCAACAATTTGGATTCTTATTGAATGCTACATTTCAGCGAGAAACCAATATTTGCACCTGTGCGCTCACAACCGGTAGTGTACGTCGTATCAGTACAGGGATGAAACCGTTTTCAGAACTTTTGTTGGCCCTTGCTGTCAGCTTAGTTTTACTTTGACATCAATCCCCTAAAGATCTGCCATGGAAGCTCAAGTATAAACCAGCCTCTAATCTGTGGGGATTCTTCGATGAGGGCAGAGTAGAGAAGTCTGACATGGGGTGACAATCGATGGCCTCTGCAACAGGACAACCCGTCACTTGTCTGAACTCTGTGGGCGCTGAGGTTAAAACAGCATTCCCCTGGGAACAGACTGAGTGGCATTGATGGCAAGGAGGGTCCCAACCTCCCCTGACAGACACATCTCATCCTGGATGCCATCTTGCCCTCTCCCTGCCATGGCACAATGCAGACACTATGAGAATGACACTACATTATACTGACACCAGGCAGTTGACATACTAATCCAAGAACTAAAGGACTAGGGGGACCATTGATTTTGTATTCTTGGTAAAAGGAAAGAAGCCAGCCATCATTCCTCTTCGACCAGTGATGCTAATGGACTTTTTAAAATGTTGCCACGGAGATCCCCTGGAGCCTTTCTGTTTTTGCCACTGCAAGACCTTTGAAATATACCGAAATCCCCAGCTCCTTTATCTGACATGTTTTTATTCAACAGCCCAGCTTAGATGTCTCGGCTGTGTCAAGTGTTTATACACAGCATCTGCCTGGTCAGTGACAGGTACCACTGGAAGTCTAAACTCTGACATTGGATGTAAGAATGAAAGTTCTGTGAGAAATAATGGTATGAAGCTACATTCATGCTGTTTGTGCACATGGATGGAAGTGTTCCATTTTGATTGTACCACTTACCACGTATTTGTCCCAAACCTTTTAACTTGCATACACACAAGTAACTTGTGTTTTTATCTTTTAGTATACAAAGGAAAAAAAAAAGTCTGAAGCAGTGTTTTAAAAAAACATTTCATGACCGTTTCTATTTGGGGTCAAGACAGCAATGTGGTTTTTGTTCTAACTGTTGAACCCTTATCATTTCAGTGTACTCTCAACTAAAAAACGAAAAGCGCCACAGGCATTTTAAAGGCTACATATCTTGATAAACTGTTGTGATCTTTTAAAGTTGCTTTTAAAGGCATTCTTAATTGGAACTAGGTTGTAACTACACCAGAATGAACTCATTTGTGCCACATGTAACACCCGTCTGAAAACTGGCCCATACAATCCACCTCTGTATCCTGTGGGGATTGTTCTCTCAATTATTGCCCAATGCTCCTTGATCCCAATTCCAATTTGCCGCGACGACGTCTGCGTGGTTAGCCATTGGAAATCTAATTAGCAAAGTTTCTCCTGTCTGAGAGGGTTGAGTGCAGAGTTGAAATGACTGCTGGGTAAAGGGAAGAATGGCCGCAAACAGACTTCTTCGCAAACTGTCTTCAGCTGATATTTTTTGTGGAAAGAATATTGGTGGTCAATATTCACTGACTACTGAGGTGTAACCCTCAAGGATTTATTATTTTTTTCTTTTTGAATGTCAGCTATGACTGTTTGTGCGGAGTCAACTTAGGGAAGGATGTGAGTGCGAAGAGAAAACAGCTCTGAGAAGAGGGTGATCTGCTGTGTGATATGTGTCATGAGACTGCAGTGAGATTGGTGGTCTGATGAACCTTCTAAACGAAGGTAGGGGAGGGACAATAAGGCTCAGGCCTCAACAATGGAATGTTTGTCTCACCACGCACCATTCATATCATGTGTTGTTTTTCCTCCTGTCACATTAAAATTCCCATGTGGTTGTTTTGACAATAACAAAAAAAAACATCAGGAAGGTTTTGATATACTAGTCTGGTGAAGGAAGGAAAGATAGACGATTGACACCCTGTTATTATTACCCAGTGCTAATGGAAAAGGAATTTTTAGCGATTAGTATTCCATTTTTCAGTATGTTGTGTTATACATGGTAGTTTTAAAGGTGCTTTAAATGTGCTTCTGTAAGGAAGTCTTTACACGAAGGCAGAAAAGAGTAATTGTTGTTCAGGTCAATGGAGGTTTAAATGATGTCATGGAGACAATAATGTAAACTGATGTATCTATAAGCAAAATCAGCACCATCACAATGCTCCATAAGTTAATTTGCATGAATTATATAGCATCATTACCCTTCCAGTACATTCTACAACCAGGGTCTTATGTTTTTTGTCCCCCTTTGCTCATGTGCCATTCTTGATTAATACTGTCTCTATTGCTCTAATATAATTATAACATTGAAATATTGTATCCTCAAAAATACCTTACAGTTGACTTATCATTTGGTCACCAGATTCATGGTGTTATTATAGTGCCTGGCATAGGAAGCTGTTTTGTACTGCCCTGCTGAGAGAAGACGGGTAATGTGGCTAATTGTGTCTGAAATTGTCGAGGAGGCCAGGGATATGCTCACTCATTATGCTGGCCAGTGTGTACCACAAATATGTCAGAGTGGAGGATAGTGGGGCTTAAAGATTTTCACAGCCAAGGGGCCGAGAGACTTTGAAAGTGCACAGAGGTGTGAGGTGAAAGGTATACTCTATACTCTATTCTGCAGCTATCAAAAGCAAGTAGATTAGCCTTCCTGCCACTGAAGCACTGGTGAGGTCAGGGAATATTAGAGGGTGATTCTGCATTAGCATTATGCTCCACTGTTTCATTGTGTGCAGCAGGTGTTGGCAGGAAATAGATGTCCCACGAGTCGACAGGTGCAAACTGTGCAATGCAGTTGATTGACGATAAGACTGGAATTTTGGATTTTTAGTGCGATTTTTTTTTATGGGACCATTATTCTCAGGCAAGTGGGGACTGTAGAACATATTTACCTGCAAGATTTTATGTACAGTATGAATGAACTCCATGACCTCATTAATGTCAACCAATTAAGACTATTATAATGTAATCTAATTTTTGCAGTTGCACAGTTGAAGGCCTTGAGACTCCAAAATTCTATGTTGATACATCTTATCAATCTGCAGACGCAGTGCTGTTGGTTAATGCATGTCAGATAATCAATGGAGAGCCCCAGCGTCCCAGAAACCCCCTTTCCTCCAAAAAGGGCCCAACTGCCAATGTCTCCCAGATGGCTTAACAAGTCCAGTTCATTAAAAACAAAATGATCGGAGCCGTGCCGTCCGAAACCCTAGAACACAGAGGGCAAACATAAGACGGGATAAGCGGTGGCTTATTTCCCCTCGACAGCTGTCAGCTCATCAGCCATCCCTCTCTCCTCAGACTGCACGAAAAGTCATTAAGTGATTAGACTTTGTTTTAGGTTAAATTAAGAAACTTCAGAATTCCAGAGGGGTGATGCATTGTTGACACATTTACATAGGAGGTAAACATGGCAGCTTGGTGACAGCATTTGTGTCGAAAAGGTCAAATGGGACAAGCAGCCATTTTACTCAAGCTGAACTCTCAGGATAGTGCGGGAGCTTGGACAGAACCAAATCATAGACTAACCTAATATGGGCAAGTTTCTGTAAAATCACTCAGATGTTTGTTGCACATTTTAGCCTAATTAAAATGTTAAGATTTTACTGAATATAGTTAACCACTGAAGTATAGAAATAGAAAATTTGAAAATTGTGAAAATTTGCCAGCAAAAATATTTTACCTAATTTTCCTAATCTCCATGGCTTTTCTCATCATCTTCATGTTTTCTTTTTGGTGGCTTAACACCAGGAATGTTTCGTCACATCTCTAACATTTTTACAGCAAGAACATAAACATTGTCTATGAAAGCACCAGTTAATAGTAAGCTACTTTCACTGACATCACGGTGGACGAACGGTGGACTGTGAGGGTCATATTGGTCTCAGCCGGTACACAGCGATGTAAATCTGCTGGGATTTTGAATGATTCATCATCCACCTGGCTGGGGACCCAAAACAATTTTTCCACCAAACCCAAAATTTGCACACATTTGGCCCTTTGCAGCTGTTCATTTTGGATTCTGGCTGTGTTATAACTAGGATGCATTAACTAGGGCTGGGGGTCTATAGGATGGCTTACTTCTGATAAAACATTTTTAATGTCATCTTTCCACAACTAATACGATTGTGTTAAACTAATAATATTAGGATTTAAACCAGTCAGTATCTTCTTAGCAAATAAGGTGGTTTAGGTCTTAGTTACTACCTTATAACCAAGAGGTTATGAACATATAAATGTGTGTCTGTAAAGTAAATTATTTTTGTGAAGCTGTGAAGGTGAAGGATTCCGACGCAGCTTTTCTCTTCATTGTTAACAGAGCTAACGGAGGATTCATTATTTCTTTTTACATCACCAGAAAACTTTGTTCTTACTTGGCCAACACCCCTTTTGACCGGTTCTCCTCTGGAAAATGGCCAGGGCAGTTCAGACTAACCGGTTCTACAGCAACTGGCAGCCAAAGGAAGTTGTTTTTGTGTAGTGCATCGTGTCACTGATGGCTGTGGCTGTTTGTTTACTGACACAGTTTCTTAAGTGTTCTAATGATATGGCAATCAATTCTTTAATCCTGAATTTGATACGGCCTAGAGGTGAACCCCCTTCCCGTGTCTTGTCATAAGGCATTTCCACTTATATTAAGCCAACTCTGTTACTTAGATGCAGTAAAGCTCGCTCAGGATAATGATAAAGCCATCAAGAGACTGCAGGTCTGCATGGTGTGTCTCGGCTTGTAGTAGAAGTGAAAGCTTGAGTTTCAAGGTATATGACTGGTCTTGCATAAGCTCTTGTACTCACTGTGGTTATCTTGTTTTGCATGCATCATCATCACACTCTGCTGGCTGCCTTACTTTAGTTAAGCACCCGGGTTGTCAATAAAGGATCTCTGCCTTCTTTCCTCACAAGAATATAATGTTCCCTCGATGCGCTGCTTGTGTTTTTGGAAGGCTGTCTGTACACATTCATGTCATAAGTGAACTAGTTATGTCGATTGTCTGGTACATGGGACTCTTTGCTTGATAAAAAGCTTTGTTGTGTGTCATTTTAGCATTTAAAGCATTTACATGACCAAAGTTCTTTCGCCCTTTTTTTCTGCCTTGAATCTTTTGACATTTTAAAGGATTTTTCTCATGGATTTGTCTCTTGCAGCAATACCACTATAACATAATCTGTTTGTTCAAATGGCTGTCCTCCTTGGCAGGAAAAAAACATCCAAATCATTGCATATGAGGCTAATCCATCAGGTATATTGTCCTCATATATCGCCTAAGGCAGGCCACACATGCTGTTGCAATTCACAAAGTAAACACAAGCAGACACCCGCCCACTCCCCTCGATTTATGGCGTTGTGATCATCGCTTGACCTCATTGCTAAATGCAGCTTTCTCGTCTGCATTTAAATGAAGCAGACTATTATCAATATTGATGACAGTTCATGTGTCTGTTGACTTAATTTTCTGCTCCCACTTAAAACCATTTGGCCTAAGTCTCATTGCCAAGTGACACAGTCGTAAACTTGGGGAGGGCTTGTAAGAACCCCCGTGGAGGACACATTGCCCTTAATAAGTTGGCAGTGAGCACAGGTCATCGCAGTTCGAAGTTTGCTTCAGCAAATCCCTCTGACATCCATCTGTCACTGTCTGTTCCCTCGGATATCAAACAGATGTGGAAATTAACATTTGTGCACAACGACCACAGTGCTTAATTTATTCACACACAGACATTCAATGCCAAATTTTATCTTAACTGTTTTTAGGAGAGCTGTTCACAGGAATTTGATCAAAATGGTAATCTGTGATTGGATGGATAAGGTTGCAGCATCTTTTCGTGAGAAGCTTTTTGTTTTGTTCCAAATGTCTGTGAGATCATTTGTCAAAAATGTTCTGTGGTATTGTGACAGCTTTATCTTTTGACTTGTCTTTTAGCGAAGTTTGTTGTCATCCACAGTGCACTTTTGTTTAGGTCTTAAGTTGCTCCTGTAATTATGCAAAGCAAACTCCTACTGTATGCGTCTAGCAATTCAGAATGAATGAGTCACTTCCTGTTTATCAGCCAACTTTTGAAAGGATGTACCTTGTGTACGTCTGTGTATCTGTCACCAGGTGTCTGGAACAGTGAATGCAACAACTATAATAATTTTGTTTGTTTGTTCGTCTGATATTTTTAGCAGGATATTTAAATAAACATGCTAACAGATTTTAATTAACTTTGGTGGAAAAGTACAACAAAAAGGTGTTTTCTTAAGAGATCAAACATGTAATACATCATTAAAATATTTAATATTATAAGGGCAATATTCAGATTTGTGTGATATGTGGAGTCTAAATGCCTTCTAACTTTATACATAATCACACTATAGACATTTCTATCATTTGACTGTGAGAGGAAATTTTACACGGAAAGTCTTTACACGGGGACTCTATGCAGTTGTTTAAAAGATGCTGTTTAAATACACACATACAGACCTTTAACCTAAGTAGTCAATTATGCCATCAGGGCCCGGAGTCATGGCGGGTGGAGTGAGGTGTTCTCCTTGGTGTAGGCAAAGGTTTAATTATGCTGTCACCTGTGAAAGACATTGGTTGGTGGTAAATGAGGCAGTTGTCCTGGTGGAGCCCCAGCAGCCTGCCTCCTCTCCTGGTTGCTTCCCTGCCTGTTTGTGCCTCTCTCTGACTCCATCTACCTTTTTTATGTGTGTGTCTGCACTCTAGCATCTCGGCAGTTCAGCGGACACTCAATCACATCGCCGCATTGACATAAGGCATTGCATGCTAATAAGAACTTAGCTGCCACCTTTAAACACTGCTGCTGTCATTGATCACTCACATATGCAATTGTTGCAGTTGGATTTTTAACATGATTTAAAAGTGTCTTGATACACTAACGTAATACAATATAAGGGTTAGAAGTACTGTAATATACCCCAACTTGTAGTATTAGCTCTAGCAGCATGTATTCACTGTGTGATTCTTTTAAACACGGAGGTGGATCAGCCTTGCTAACCGTCCTAACCCTGATAACCTTGTGTCTCATTGTAGGTGGGAGGTGAATCTGCTGTGGGCCATGTGTTTCTGGTGAGGTCTCATCGTCTGCCAAAATGAGGCTGATGCCCGGCTCGCCTCGACCCATCCTGCCAGCCATCCTGGCTCTCACCTTAGCCGCCTTCTTACCTCAGCTGTCCTCGGGAGCCACACCGTTCCCCCAAGACCTGGAACCAATCAGCATCGTGGGCAGAGAATGTAAGTTCAAAATCTGTTGTGTTGCCATGGTGATCCTTGTAGCAGGAGTAGATGTAAAAGTAAAACCGAGGGTCACTAAGGCATTATAACGCCTCACTGGGGAACCTGGCTTAAAGAGGTGGATGTGTTTTAAGGGCATGTTTTCGCAGCAAGCAAATTTACTGAGGTTTATCCGGCTGCTCGTATATTAATTCTTTTAGTCCTGTTTTGTTGCCTTGGTGTGGAAAAGGCCATTTCAGCTCAGGAAGCAGTACCATGATTGCATGAAAACACCTTTCTCAGTCAGAGCTGAGGCACAGTTTGTAAGGAGTGAGGGTTTAATCCTAAACTGTACATGGAAATGGGACCTTCTTTTCAAGTTTAAATGGCACAAGAAGGATTTTGACCTAAAATTATTGTAACCTCTTCAACTTCTAAATGATTTTTAGTTGAAACTAAACTAACTTAAGACAAAAGATACAGCAAACCTTTTAACACTGGATTGGACCAAAGGTTGAACTCAATATCGCAATGTTAACGATATGTTTCACGATGCTTTGTCAGTTCAATCCAACTCCGATTTTTTCTGTTTTTTTTCTTTTTTTTTCCTGTTTTTGCAGGTTAGTTTGGTATATTTAGTCTGGCATGACAACTGTCAGTTAAACATCCAGCAGAATTAGATTTTCCTTCGCGGGTCAATGTAGCGCTGATGATACACAGTGACCGTCATCGAAACTGTCCAAAGAATGAGTTACCTTTCAGTCTGTATGACTTTCTGCTTGCACCTGTGGTTTTGTTTGTGATAGGTCCGTGTGAACACAACACAGTGAACAAGAACTAAAAGGGCAACAATGGATCATTTTTTAAATGATGACAGTCCATAAAGGTTAATATTATTATCTCCCAGTCCTACATGTGACTGCAGCTTAAGAAGGTAAAACCTCAGAGTTCAGCACCAGCCATTAAGATAAGATTTTTACTACGGAGGATCTTTACATCTTTGACACTCTGAAGACAGTGCTTCATTGGACCACCCTGGGGACCCACCATTGGCACCCAATCACTGGGGAGGTCCACAGAAGAGGTCCTGGCTACTAAATGTAATGGCCCATAATTGATTTAAGAGGTGGCTGAGACCATGGCCCGCACACTGTAATTGATGTATCTGGAAGAGAGTAACGCAACCATTAGCAGAAATAGCTGCACTAATAGTGCTATATGTGGAGCTCCGTCCCAGGTGTAATGAGAGCAATTTGTCACCTCTGGTTCCAGCAGGTGACAGTGTGGCACATGGTCCCTCACAACTCTATGAGACGTCCATTATGAATCACAGTACTTCATCAATCTGAAGTCTATGAAATCATACAGTCACTACTTTTTTTGGAAAGTGGGCAGACGCCTCGCCTCAGCATCTTGTCTTTTTTGTGACAGACTGCATGCTGAGTAGGTTTGACCAATTAAGGTTTTTGAAGGTAAGTAAAGACATTATTATACTGGAGATGCTTATAGATAAAGCTGCTGCCATATTCAACCTTTTTATATGAATTATTCACTCTTTCCACAGACTCTAACACATGAAAGGTCTTTAAAACATGACAGTTCAATTCCAGTCTTTTTAACCATATCATAATAAATATATGAAAAGAGTGTACAGTTTGCCCATTATAAACTGTTTCTTAAGTATTTTTCTTATTATAAAAAGGTGTAGATTACTCTAACAACAATTAACTAATTAATTAACAATAATAAAAGGGGGCTGCATTATTGTAAGTTTATTGTTAGAAGTACAGGTGATAAGATGAGATCCAAAAAGTCCAGTTTGAGTAATATATCCATTAATTACAGCTTATGAGATGCCATAGCCCAATACAACAGTTTAAAATGCTGTGAGAAATAAATGTATCCAACCATTTCATGTCTGTTTAGACCATTGCAAGCCAGAGTGCTAAAGGATGTTAATTTTTTTAGATGATTCTAAATGATAAAGATCTCATTAAATGTCTTGTTTAGTCTGACCAACTTTCTAAAGCTAAAAGATAATTATATTTCTGTAATTAAAGATAGAGGAAGGATTCTCACATTTTGGAAGCTAAATCATCAAATATTTGGCATTTTTGCTTGAAAAATGACTTAAACAATTAACGCATCTCCCTTAGCAAAAGCAAAGTATCAATGATGCAACCAAAACCATAACAAACCTGACATAATCTTAAAAAGGTAACTCCGATCATACCTAATACAAAGACGTAGAGATAACGTAATTCAACGTATCAGACTATAATCGCTGCAGTCTTATAATGGTGCTGCAACATTTTAAAAAACCCACACTCGAACTGTATTAGAGATTAATAATAATACCATCTCATAAGTCAAAACCTCAAGTACCCGCTACTCAATTATCATCATCTCACTAAAAATTAAAATTCCACATACAAGCAAGGTGAGGAAACAACCGCCAGAAACATATCTGCTCTCACAGCTCTGTATACTAAACCACATTACAAAAGCACGAATAGTTCCAAACAACATGATTTTCATTCTGAATAAAATTCTCTTTAAAATGTCATATTTCTTCACGACAACACCACCTGGGGTTACCACAATTCTTATTTCATTGTTCCCGATACAATTATTCTACCACCATCTACCTTTTGATTCTTTTACTACATTTCTTTAAACGTTGATTATTTCTCCGAGGAGAGCAACTTTTTCTAGCGATCACTTTTACCAATTAATTTGTTAATATGATTGCGGGCACGGTTACAATAACGAAGCTTTCAGCTACAATCAATTTTTATATCACTGATTAGGACAAGACTATTGTATAGGGATCTTCGAATATAAAACGGTCAGGTAGAAGGAAGTCATTCACAGCAATGGTAAATGTACATATGCTACTGGTGGCTATAAGGTTGATGAACAAGACTTTCAAATGCATACATTTCTTGGTACTGGTAAATCTACTCCCTAGAAGTTTGGGTTTCAAATAACCCACTAGTGGACACATATTAGATTGTTTAGGTCTTAAAGGATTGCTACTTCATCCGTCAATAAGGAAAAATTATGCTAACCTAATATCCTACGCCAATAAATGCGTCCTATACATATAACAATCAGAACTGAGAAATGCCTCAATTCATTCCTGTGCCCATTTCAATCTTCAAATGAAGGAAATACACTAATTTAGTGTAAGTTAATCTGTTGGTAATGTACAATTGATCATACTACATGTAATAGAATGTCTGGAGAAGTGACTGGCAAGATACAACTACTGGTATACAAATATATTAATCGGCTTCTGAGTCTTGTTTATTGTGTGTATATAAACACTTATTTTAGCAGACCTATACAAATAAACAATGACTAAAGTAATTTTAATTACACGTTTATGGAGTGGAGAAAAGAAATACAAAAGGTTGTTTATTCTAATATAAGAATAACTACAATGTAACACATAAAAGAAGAAATATACATATCATTCCTACTGGAAAATATATTTGACTAATAAATATTTGTGATATTAAACATGAGGCATAACCAGTTCATTTGAAAATTTTCGAGTACATATTGGAATCAATACCAAATGCGATATACCTTATCTAACAACATTCCCTATACAATAAAATAATATTAAAACCACCACTAATTACAAGATAATACACATTTATTTATTCTACCATAACGAAATCACAAACGTGTACAAGGTAATATTTCCAACGGGGAAGTATTAATTGGTAATAAATAAAAACCAAAACTAAGAAAACAAGAATAACCGCTAAAATATAAACAAAAGTACTTAGTTAAAACTTGTCAAGTCACAAACATACATACAAATACCTATAATCTAACACTACAAATATCACCACAGTTTACTGCCACCACTTAACGGCCACAGTTCGCCATGCGGAAGTGGAGTTGAGGGTTGTTCGTCCTTGGTGTATAAAAAGATGTGAACAAAAGGTTCTTAATTATAACTAGTCACTCCAGATCGATAAAGAAAACATTCGGTATACAAGGGTGAATACATTCAGTCAAGCTTTGTGAAAGCACATCTTTGGTTAAGTAGAATAGATAAAATGCCGTGCATTCACCTAGCATGAGCAACAGCAGCTGCTTCCTCATCACCTCAAACCTAGCTAAGCATTCCTTTTTGAAAACGAACTATCTACTTACACTTAAATTGCACTAACAATTTTATTAAACGGAAATCACAAACTGAAACTGCAACAGTCAATCTACACTTTTTTATTGTTTCTGCCTCTAGCATCTCGCAGTTCAGCGGACCCAATCACATCGCGTTGGATAAGGCATTGCCATGCTAATAAGACTTAGCTGCACCTTTAAACACTGCTTGCTTGTATTAGCACTCCATATGCATTGTTCAGTTGATTTTAACATGATTTAAAAGTGTCTTGTACATAACTCAACAGCAGCCCAGGTCAGATGGGAGGCTGGAGGGCACTTAATACAGTACTTTAAAGACTCTGAGTGCCATGGCCCTGAGCTGAATCTGTGCTTGGTTAAAATAGAGGAAACAGCAGGGGAAGTCTCTGTGATGTGGAAGACAGCCTGGTGTCAGTATTGAGCTGGCCAATTTTATTTCTGCCTGGAGGATCTTTTTTTTTTTTTTTTTTAAATCGATGTTTGAAAGGCATGTCCATCTAATGACTGCCTGTCACTCTGTTATTTAAAGTACTGGACACCATCTCCCATTGTTTAAATTAATATTTTCCTTGAGTAAGTTAGTCTAAAAAAGGCAAGATGGAATTGAGATGCAGAAGAGGAACAAGGAAAAATTTTTAAATGAGCCTTAATGCAGTTCAGTCGATATTATATCTCTCTTTGTACCACATTCCTCAGTCCATCTTATCTCACAGGTTTTGTATTGCTTCTCACGCACATCTTTATTTAAGCATGAATACACCTGATTTCAATAGAATCTAAAACTTAATGTATAGTGCCTGCAGTGAAAGATATTTTCTATATTTGTCCTTCTTAACCACATGGTATTATCTGTAATACAGGTTTTTAAGGGTAGTTTGGTCATGTGAAGGAATTTATGATTGCATTCATGACGACACAAAGTTGAACTGTTGTGACCTCAGAGACAGACGAGTGCTATTTAAATGGGGGCTGACCAGACAGACGGATTTTCCATCGTTTCCATGTTTCGTTTCCTTGTCCTCACTTGGCCCAGTTCCCGGAAAATGTTTACCAGGAGCCATTTATTTAAATCAGACTGACTTCTGTGACACGACCAGCTAATTTGCAACTTTGGATGCTATTTTTTCCCCTGCTCATCCACCTCCACAAGTGCACATTAGAATATAGCATATGCTCTGGTTAGTCAGAACTATAGGCCAAATTGTAACCTTGGTTTAGTGCTTCTTAAACTGAAGAGGTGTAATGTTTTTATAAGCCGTGGAATTTTTGTGGATGGATGTCAACCCAATGTCCTACCAACTCTTTACCAATGACAAACAGAGCTGTTTGTAAAAAAGCACTGAACAACTAAGAATGAATTTCATGATTCAGAAAAAACTGGCCTGTGTGGAAAACATTTTTATTATTTCTCATTGGAAGGAGAGGCCAGGTTTGAGTTCTGACTTTCTTTTCCAATTTTGCTAACCGGACGCCCTTTCTAGCCTTTTCTGAGAAGACATTTTCTTTTTCTCTCCATCTCTTATCCCAAACAGCCTCCTACCTCTACCCCAGCTTCCAGGGACTCATGTCGGACAATGACACCGTCCGCCTGGGCCTAGACTTCCAGAGGATGCTGAGGATCAACCACATGCTCTACATCGCTGCCCGGTCAGTCATCACCACTCACCTGCTAGTTTAGTTTATTTTATCTATACACTGTATGTTGACCTCTATTAGCAAATCTGATTCAAATCGAATGTATGCATGGCTGCACAAAGGAAGCAATCACAATTTTTAACTATTGGTTAATGTTCGGATTATTCTTTCTAGTTTTTTAGTTCATTAATGTGAACAATTATGATCACGAGTTACCAGACCTCAAAATGTTATCCACTGAGTTTTTAAAATCTTCATCAGCAGCCAAAACCCCCTGAAGCATCCATTGGAGTATATAAAACAATGTATTTAGGTGTTTGCTGTTTCTTTATATGACCAATGAAGTCAATTAAGCATAAAGTCAATTCAGTTCTAATTTACACTGATAGCTCAGCAAGAGGCAATGGGCCCTTGAAAGGGACGTGAGGGGGGGGAAATTTGAAAAAAAAAAAAAATTGATACATCCTAAGCAGGGAAACAGCAAAAGACATCAGAAAACATGTTTACAGTAAAGATCTTTTAAAAAACATATTCACAGAACACCAAGTAGAATCTGATAAAAAAAAAATGTCAGCATGGGTAGAGAAATTTATTTGACTGAGTATCTGTTGTAAGAGTGCTGGGGCCTTGAAGGCAGAGAGAGTGTTAGTACAATTTCAGAGTCATTTTTAAATCTTAAACTACCTGAAGTTCAACAGTAAATTCTTGCTCTTCTGAATAAATACTTCTATTGCTGTTGTGAGCACTGGTCAGTCTACACAAACCTTCATTACTGTGTAAGGTATCCAAGGCAGAACCTCTACACCAAATTGCTTTCATGTTGCAAGTTTTTCCAGAGCTTATATTAGCCTAATTGCACTTTGCTCCCCTCTCGATCAAGATGTCGAAGGTTAATTATCTAAAAAGTACGACTTGTACCTCCTCTGCTTGTTTTCATTGTGCAAAATAAATTCTGCTACAGTTTTTGGCTCGGGCTCAAACTGCAGTACTCTTACTGCCAAGAATCCCATCCAAAAAGGTATGGAGATTCCTAATGTACCTAAATGGACTTAATATTTTCCACAGCTGCATACAACAAAGTGCATGCCTCACTTCACAAAGTGATTCATAAGGGTTTTTGTCGATAGTTGGGAAACTTTTGACGTTGGAAAACTTTTGCAAGTTTATGAAGTTGAAAGGCCAATAAACGTTGGCTCTGGTAATCCACCTTGCACCCTCTGTTTTTGAACAGCTACCATCAATCCTATTGAGTGAAATAGAACCAGATCTTGTGAAATGGTTGGATCAGAGGCTTTTAGGGCTTTGCATTCAAAAGGCATTAAGTCTGACAAAAATCATGTGAAAATGGCCCCACTAATGGTTCCTTGATTCTCTATCTCTTGCAGGGACCATGTGTTTGCCGTCAATCTTGCCACATCATCTGAGCAGATAATCCCACAGCAGGTAGGACAGTCTGCCCACATTCATGGGTGAGAGTCACCTCTGTTTCAGTGTTAATATTTGACCTCAGGGGCTGGCAAATGGAGCCAACAACTTAAGGAACAAAAACTGCAGCTCCTTAAACGGCCACTTGAGGCTGGCTACAGAAGTGAGTCAATCTCCTTAATGCCCCATATTAAAAAAAACTTTACTACAGAAATAAATAGCCTGGTACAAAAAACGTCTTTGGTCTCTTTAGCTAATTTGCCCGTTCGTTACAGCTGTATGAGGGTTAGGGCTTTGACTTTTGGCCAAAAATCATATTCGAAATTCGTTTGTTTATTAATATTAATATTCGAATATATTCAAATATTTATTAATAATATTTTGAC